TGTTTAAAAAGATTTAGCTGGGTGTGGTAATGACAACTTTATTCCCAGCACACCAGAAGCAGAGTCAGCAGATCTCTGAGTTTAAGACAAGTCTGGTCTACATCATGAGTTCCCGGCCAGAATTTTAAGTGTGTCTTATTTCTGTGTATGTTAGTGCATGTGGATGCCCCAAAACAAAAATAAAGAGTTGCTTTCATGAGCATAGATGGCGGTTAATTACTAAAGCACGGACAGGTTACAGGTGGATACACCACTGAGGAAAATGGCTTCTAGCAACCACTAACTGCCAACAGTTCTGAAGAGCCTGGGAATATGAAAAATTGTATGCCAATAGCCTAATACTGAACTTAAAACAAGCTACCCAACCTTTACCATACATTCTCCCAGATCCAGGAAGCAGTTAGAACAGAGCCCAGGCTATGTAAACATCTTGAACGAACACCCTGTACTCAGAGTTTACAAATCATGACACCAATGGTGCATTCCACAGGAGTTGTAGACCCTAACCCTAGGAAAGCATTCTCGATGCCATGAAGCCTGATATGCACTCTGCGCCCTGTGTACAACCTTTGGCTATAAAAAGGCCCTCATCGGTCACAGAGCTGAGTAATTCTCTGAAGCCCTAACTAGTTAGAAGTTTTGATCCACGTGGTTTTTTTGTTTTGTTTTGTTTTTAATTAAGTTGCTTTTGGTTAATAGACTTCAATGGTCTGCTCCGTTATTTATGCAACCCCAGGAACCAAGAGTTCCATAGCGGGTTTTGTTCATTTGTTAATTGGCTCCTGCAAACATTAGTCTTACCAACACACTACACTGGCCACCAGGGTTCTGTCACAATATATAGAAACTATGCTGTGACACTGCTCCTGCCTAGCTGTGCCCCAGAACTAAACTGTTATGTTGTCCAGGCAGACCATCTATGTGGGATCCAGTCGTGCTCTTCTGAACTCATGGAATTGTCCTTTGACAAAGCTGACGAGAGTGGATTTCTCTACTGCAGACCTCATGGCAGGACTCGAGACACCGTGTAGTGTCTCAGGCTCTGGCCTTCACCAAACCATTGTATTACATTAAATATTAGCCAACAGAGACTAGGAAGATAGCCCAACAATCAATATCACTTACTGCTCGTGCAGACCTTCATTGCATCCTCAGAACCCACGTCAGGCAGCTCACAACTACCTGTCATGTCAGCTCCAGGGAATCTTATCTGCTCTTGTGGCCTCTCTGGGGACCTGCGTGTATGTGAGGCACATAATACATGCCAGTACACAGATGTGCATGTATCTTTTTAAATGAACTATTAGCAAAAACTCAACAGTTCTCAAAATAAAACATACATGGTCAATACATGAAAAAAATGTTCAAAACCCTTGGCTACCAGGGGAAAAAAAAAAAACCTCCACTAATATTGCATCTGCCCCCCTTGAGAATGATTTATGCACAAGTCCTAGGGTGTGTGAGGTGGGCCAGAGCCTTCTGCAGTTGATGAGAATGAAATCAGTACGGAGGTTGCCCAACAACTGAAAGCAGAACTCTGGTTGATTCAGCTGTACCATTCCTGAGTATATACCAAAGGAAGCCAGTCAGAACAATACAGATGTCTGCACACCCATGTTAACAGTAACACTACTCAAAGTAGCCAAAAAAAAAAAAAAAAAAAAAAAAAAAAAAAAAAAAAAAAAAGTCAGGTTAGGGGTTCATTAATAAATGGACTGAGAGATGGCTCAGCGGCTAAAACTGCTCTTCCAAAGTGATTCCCAGCACCACTGCTGGGTGGCTCAGAGCCTCTAACTATAGCTACAGGAGATCCAACACCTGGGCACCCAAACACACGGGGAGTACATGTGAACAATAACAAAATGCAGGGTACAACAGTGACACACAGAATGGAGCTTTATTTAGTCATAAAGAAACAAAATCAAGTAACTTGAAGGGACAGTGATGGAACTAAAATGCATAGTAAGCAAAGTAAGTCAGATCCACAGTGACAAATACTATAAAAAAGATTTTTAAAGACATGAAAGTAGAGAAGATGGAGACCAACAGAAAGAAGACAACACAAGGTAAAGATGCACATGAATATGATCCAGTGCGCTTTATACACATCTGAATATGTCAGTGTAGCTCTGGAAACAGTATTCTTGCCTAGCATGCATGAAGGTTCAGGTTTAGTCCTCAACACCATACACTCCCTAGGAACCATACTCCATTAGGGGTAGAGATAGGTAGGAGTGAAAGTTCAAGGTCATCCTTGACCACATGCCAAGGTTGAGGACAGTCTGGAATACATGAGCCCCTGTTTCAAATACATATGCAATACACACACACACACACACACACACACACACACACACACACACACACACACACGCACGCGCGCGCGACAAAACAAACATGAAAGGAATCTAGACACTTTCCTGAAATACACAAATGGCCAACAAGTGTATAAAAGGATGCTTGAGAGGCTGGAGAGATGGCTCAGCAGCTTGGAGCACTTAACTGTTCTTGCAAAGAACTCAAGTTTAATTGTCAGCACCCAAAATAATAGGCTCACAACATCCTGTAGCTCCAGCTTCCAGAAGATCTAACACATTTGCCTGAGTGCCTATTATGTGGATTCTGTACCACTTTCTTGACAGAGGCAATATTTGAGGGAGGAAAGATTTGAAGTCATAGATTCAGAGGGCAAAATCTATGACAGGAAAGGCATGGTACTTGGATTGGTTCTGTAGCAGCAGGAGATTGTAAGACCCACCCCTATCCACAGCCTTCTAAAACAGTGGCACCAGCTGGGGGAGACCACACGTACAAAAACATAGACTTGTAGAGGACATTTCACTTTCAAACCATACTAGTTTCAAAAAATTCAAAATTATACTAATCTGGCTTTAATTATATTATACTGGCTACTCTTCCAGAGGACATGGATTCAATTCCCAGCAAACACACAGACGCTCATAACTATAACTCTAGTCCCAGAGGACCTGATGCCTTCTTCTGACCTTTTTGTGCAACAAGCACATACCTGGTGCATAGAGATTTATGAAGGCAAAACATACACATAAAACAACAAAACAGCCAGCCAGTAGTGATGCATGTTTTTTAATCTCAGCACTTGGGAGGCAGACAGGTGGATCTCTGAGTTAGAGACCAGCCAAAGTGAATTTCAACACACCCAGGGCTGGGGGCTGGAGAGATGGCTCAGAGATTGAGAGCACTGACTGTTCTTCCAGACATCCTGAGTTCAATTCCCAGCAACCACATGGTGGCTCACAACCATCTATAATGAGATCTAGTGCCTTCTTCCAGCCTGCAGTCATACATGCAGGCAGAACATTGTATCATAAAAAATAAAAAATAAAAAAATAAGAAAAACCAGCCAGCGCTACTCAAAAAAGAAAAAACTCTGCATTATCTAAAACATAAATTGAAGTCACAGAAGTAAACAATAGTGGCTGCCAGTGGTTAAAGTTTAAGAGAGCTAAGAAAATAGCTATTGAAGAGTGCAGACTTTGTTATCAGTAACATCGAGACAGCATATTCATCACCGTGACAACAGTGAACACGTGTACTGCCCACTGAGAACTGGGTAAAACATCCGGTATTAGTAAAATGGGATATTTTAGTTCCCGGCACAGGAAGACTCTGTGGAGCCTAAGATGGATTTTCTTGGCAACACTCCAAGAGAGAAGTGCCTGCCACATTACTCACCATTCTCTGAGATACACATAAGCATCTGTTTCCAGGGCCTATGGAACTATGTTTTCTAATTTGCTAAAACATTTGATACTTTCATATCAAATATACAATGTAACTCTGTGGGCAAGCAAGATGGCTCAGCAGGTAAAAGAAATGCTTACCTCCAAGCCCAACCACCTGAGTTCAATTCCCAGAAGCCACAAGGTGAAAGAGAAAGCCAGTTTTCCTGGGTTGTCCTCTATCTCCGCACACATCATGTTGTGTACCACCCCAAATAAGTAAATGTAATACTTTTTTTAAAAAGCCGTCAGGTGAGGAATATTCTTAGTTTGGATACAGATTCAGTAAACAGAATTAGTGCCAATTCTAACTACATTAACACAATGCAGTATTGTATCCTTGAGGCAGAATTGCAGGCTGGAAGTGACTGAACTATACAATGAGACCCTCTCTCAAAAACTAAATAAACTCAACCCTGCCTAAGAATTATTTTAAAAGCAAAGCTTGTAAGTCTAAAGTGAAATTTCTCATAATGTGCCCTGTGAAATTAAACACAAAGTATCCTCTGGCTCTTATATAGAATGTTATATATAGATTTATTAAATCCACTCGGTCTCAAGGCTGCTTCAAATACAATTTCCTTAGTGATTTTAAGACTCAATATTAATATCAATTCGGCAATGAAAAGAGTACTAAAGCAAACTTACACTCTCATTATAATGTTATTTCTCTCTACATATATTCTAATATTTGCTTTCCATATTTGGTTGTTCTATTTCTGGGATATCTTTACAACCATGACACCCTTACAATGAAGAAACAATCTTACTACCTCTTTTTCAGTCTATTTATGCCCTAACAAATAAGTTGCATATTGGAAGCACAGAGAAGTCTTTAAAACATTATCAGCCAGGCTCAGTGGGCCATTACTGAAACCATAATACATGAGAGATTAATGGAGGAAGATCATTAA